AAGGTTTGATATTTACACTAAAATCTCTTGTCTCTGATATTTCCGTTGATTTATTAGCCTTCTGTTCCTGTAAACAGGCTTTCATTTCTAACTTGCCTTTTACACTTCTTCTTTTTGATGTAGAGGCTCTTAGATTTGTGAAAAATGTCTTAATTTCGCTTTGGCTTTAGGAACTTGATTACGTTGTATTAACCGTTTGTTAAATACAAGCTAGATTTCTGCTTTGTAGGGAGGAAACGCTGTTTTAAATTTTCTCTTAAAGTCTGCGAGTAGATTTTCATAAAGATCATGAGAATCACGTTCTTGTCGGTTAGGACGTAATTTCTTCGACAGTAGTATCTTTTGTTATCTTGGTGGGTGGCAGATTATCTTGTTGTCGTTTTTCATTAACATGACACAAAGGCTTTGAAAAAATACTTCCGAGGGAACTTAGTAAGCACATTAAATATTCCTGAATCAAAAGTGAAAATTGGTACATTCTCAGCTTTCCACGATGAAACACGAAACACAACCTGAAGCCATTTTAAATGACTTAATTTATCAGGTTCGTCATCTTTGGCACCGGTGGCTGTTGTGGTACCAGTGATTGTTATTCTACTGATAATTGTCGCCATTATGATCTATAAAAGGTAAGTTTATTTTGATGCAATGCCTTGGTGTGCGAACTTATAGCTACATTTCTAAAAATCTGGTGCGTGATCGTCAACTTTAAAATCACACAATTATCATTTTTGTGGTATTTTTAAGGGACCAAAGTAGGAAACAGTTGTCAATATTGAAATGGGGAGATGTAGGTCCTCATGTGCATGAAGTGGCTACTGAAATCGTGACTTGAGTGTACTCGGAGAATGGACTATAGGCCTGTGTGGAGTAAGAAATTTATTACCATGTGGGTCTTTGACATTCATAGCCCACCAGGGCGGTCCGTGGTCAGTTTGGATAATGAACCGGCATACAGATACTGTCGAAATTTCTTGAGGAACACCACAATGGCCAGTAGATCTCGCCTAGTTACGCAGTAGTTGGTTTCAGTTTTGCTCAGTGCCCGACTACCGTATGCGTTGACCTGTTCCTGTCAATTGATCACTTGGGAGAGTTCCGCTCTTACCCCAACGTCACTAGCATCCGTATCGAGAATGGACTCGGCGTCTGGCGCTGGATAGGCCAGGATAGGCAGCTCAAGCAACCTTTGCCTTGGCTTTTTAAAGGCAGCCTCCCTTTCCTCATCCCATTTGAAGTTGCGTCCTTTTCAGTCAGTCAATACGGTGGTCGGGCAATATCGGAAGAAGCTTTGATGAACCGCCAACCCTAAGAAACTCTGCACCTCGGTTGCGTTTGGTGGTGTAGGCAACTCCCGTACAACTTGTCCCCGGGTCAGTTGCCACAACGTAAACTTATACCACGTGCCCGAGGTGTATCACACTTTGCCGTGGGAAACTTTCGGGGCTTTAGTTTTAGTCT